GACTACGACTACTACTACTACTATTTTGACTTTATTAAAATGATAAATTTGTTTATTTTTTTCTTATACAACCTAAAATTACATAAGACATTTCTGTCTCAGCTGTTTGTTTTATGAATTATAAAAGCAATAATTCAAGCATATATTTATTTAAATAAAAATTAAATGATTAAAAAAGCACTAAAAATATTTGTGAAAATGGATCTGTAAGAATCCACATAAAATTCCATAAAAATCACATAAATTCCAAAAGCAAGCTAAAACTGACATAGCTGTCACCCTCCTAGACTGTAGTTCATACAAAGGCAACTAAATCTGATTTGAGTAATAATCTTGCTCATCGCATTTCTATTAAAATACATATAAAAATAAGAAGCAAATTCACTTCAGATTAAGCTGCGTGGGACTGAATGAAAGAAATCAATCATACACATCTTTAATTGTATTTAATGCAACAACTGTCATTTTAAGACATTATTTTGGAATTCTTTTATTTGCCAATGATTTTTCTGTGAAGAATGGGATTTATTACTCAGAAAATGTAAACTTTTTGATTAAAAACTTATAATGGATTTTTTCTTTCATTTTTTTAAATTGCAAAGTTTGTTGGAGCATGTACAATTAGTCAAAAGTTACCTTTAATAAAATATTTTTAGAAATATATGAACAGGACACAAGCACAACAATGACACCTGCTCTAAAGGAAAGCCCAGAAGGACATCTCCCTCTGCTGGTAAAGGGCACGAAACGTTCGTCAAACTTCCATCTTTATTTACGCTGCAATGTGTGGCGATAGAGGCATATTTGTGTGCATTTTTTAAAATGTTATTTTGCTTGTTTGTTTATGCACACACACACGCACACACACACACACACAGGCACACACTTGTGCATGTGTGTAAGTGCATAAGAGAGTTTGTACATTTATGTATTTTCAACTACTCTGTGTGAAAATATAAATAACTACCTTGGCGGTGTGTGCAGTGTAATCTGTTCCCGGCAGGCTGGATTCCCACTGTGAGAAAGACAGTATATTGTTCCTGCAGCACCGCAGATAACAACTCATTAGCATACTGAATCATTTGGCTGCAAGAGCCACTCTGCCACCCATCTGCACTGAGCTGATAAAGGCATACACACACACACATATACACACACGGCCCACAGCTCACACAAACAAATCCATGTAATGCAGACACATACACACGAGCCAGCTCCCAYAAACACGTAAACACGTCCACTGACACACACATCCTCTCCACACCCTCCCCCCATACACTCCCTCCATCCTTCTCTTTTGTGGGTCTTTGCTGAGAGTCAGGAAAATGGAAGCAAGTAAACGTTTGGCAGGCATTAACCCAAAAGGCCCCTCAGTGGAGCTGCAGCCCAGCCAGAGCAGAGCACACAAGAGGTCTCCAAACACCTGGATGTCTCTGATGCTCTCTGGAAGCAATTACAGCCTTGAGAAAAAGCCAAGTTCTGAGCATTGTGGTAGTGGAACTGGAGACGTATAGCCCGCTGCATATAAAGTAAAAAAGAATCTCAGGGGAAGTAGATTTTCAGAACATGCAACATTATGCCACTTTGCTGTTTTTAACCCTCGCAAGTTGGTAACATTCCCATTGCGTAACCGAAGAATTTATGGGCGTTGAAGCCTCGTTTCGTGGGGCTGCCTTCGAAAAATATGCACAGACACAACAGCAGAAACGAGTGCAGGGGCGGCTGTCAAAAGCACTTTCACAATGGCAGGATATCCTGTAGGTCAGAAAGCCCTGCTGACCTCCACAGGAAGTTGTCACTTGTTGGGGAGGAAGTGAGGATTACAGCGTCCACTAAAAGGGGTTTCAGGTTTCGAAAGGAGGTTGTGGTTCGAACTATACAACATGTGGGAAGTGGCATGACACTGTCTGCCTTTGGAGGTAAGTAAGTTGGGTTATGCAACTCTGAAATGGAGAAACGTGTAGAGTATTAATTAAAATGAGCGACAAAATGTTGAATTTCTCTCTACCAGAATAGAATAGAATAGAATAGAATAGAATAGAATAGAATAGAATAGAATAGAATAGAATAGAATAGAATAGAATAGACACATTAGGTCTGACAGATCAGATGTACAAAACTTTTCCTCTGCATATTTTATTCAGGGGTTTTGTATAAAATTCATCAGCTCAACATCAGATATATTTATAGTTACAGCTATCATACAACAATGTCATTACCAAACGTACAATGTCCCTTTACTGTAATTCATAAAATACCAAAGGTACCAATAGAAGCTACTAGGTCCTGCTAAAAATGCAGAATAACCAACAACAGTGAGCAATACTTAGCTGTTTGTCAGAAAACTGCTGGTGTTTTTTTTTTTTTCATGATATTAACACTGTATGGGGATGGTTTGCGTGTACATATGAAAAAGTGGGAACAAAGAGGGCTTGTTTGTGTACCTTTTCTAAACTACATCGGCAGTACAGTTCATAAAACACAGAAACATTCATTTCAAAAGGAACGGCACGAGTCCTTCCACGGTTTCATTTGACCCATGCTGTATTTTTGTACGCTTTAAGAGCACTCTTTGTCTTGTACCTCCATAACAATTTCAAATAGAAACTTGAATCTCAGACAGTGGGAAAAAAAAGGTCAACTGTCTGGACAAATATTTGGTGTCATTTTCTGATCACCAAATTGGAAGAAAACAGGAAGTGGTACCACATTCGATGTACTTTTCATCAGTAGGTTCAGCTGTTCGCATCTTCTCTCCCCCCCTCTCTCTTTGCTTTCTGTCTCTTAAAAGACATTTTTGATAGTAAACTCATTGACAAACACATTATGATACACTTTAAACCACATGATTTGAATTTAAGTCAGTTGTGTTACATTGTGCAGTGGAAATATAATACTATTTACAATGCAAACCTGCATGGGCACTGCCTGTGGTGCACTTTTCTTAAAAATTTGAACCTCTCAAATTTGATGAGCGTAGGCCTACGTCTTTCTGTTTGACTATTCTGATCAGTGTATTTGCAACACAGTGCAATCAAGGTGAATCGTTTTGAGATGCGCCATTTTGTAATCAAATCGAGGCACTGATGCTGAGTTTTCTTATGGGACAATTACGATTTAAATGGAGGTTTTTCAAGGTATGCATTTTTATTTCAATACTTTCAGTGTCTTTGGAATTTTAAAGCACAAAAATGTTGTAATCTGCAGGGTGGTCAAAGACATGAGACATGCAGAATTTACAAGTCTTTTGGAGCACATCAGTGCTGTTTTATGCACTTTTCAGACAGAGCGCACTCAAAATCAGTATTAGGAATCACCTCCTCTCTACATGTGGCGTAACACTTCCCTCTAATTTGATGGCTCAATAGATAACAAGGTTCTGAGGTCATCCGCTTTTATGTTCTCGCTAATTAATTTTTCATTTAGTCTTAGATGTTTTGCCTGTGGTCTCTTGGCATCTGCATCACCGGCGAGTGGAACCATCTAACGGGCGTCCGTTGCGCCTCAGATCCCTAGCTGACAGATGCAACGAGGGCCCACGTGAGGCTGTYAAAGTCCTCGGAGCCGGAGGTGAGTCCTGGTCCTCCATGAAGCTCTCGGGACTCCCTTCGGCRTCGCCGTCCGGTAGGCTTCCACAGCTGGAGCTCGGCGACATGGTCTCCAGAAGATCGTCCCTCGCCAAGCCCGCCACGGTYTCCTGACGCGGTGTACCCTGAGGGCCTCCCTCGTGAGCCGCCACGCCGACCAGAAGCCCCGTGTCCCCATCGGTTGTGCTGCCAACGTTCCTTTCCCCGTCCTGGTCCTCCAGAAGGTTGGAGAGGAAGCTAATGTATTTCATCGCAAGTCTCAGAATCTCRTTTTTGCTCAGCTTCTTGTCGGGGGGATGAGTGGGGATGAGCTTGCGAAGCTCTGCGAACGCCCCGTTGACGTTCTGCTGCCGCCAACGCTCACGGCTGTTTGTGAAAATGCGACGGACAATCTTTGGCTGCCCAGCTGTCGAAGAAGGAAAGAGGGAAAAGGAGAAAGACATGGGAATGAGTTCGTACATTATTTGCACAGTTAAAATAGAAAGTTTGTTTTCTAAAAGGCTATAAAAAGTGCAAAATTAAGATCAGAAGAATTAGCAGTAACAAAACAGAAACACAGCATTTCTGCAAAATTTGAAGCCAAAACAAACTTCCTTATCTTAGAGATTTAAATTGCAAAACTGTCCTCTGAGTGACTGCGGATGAAACCATTCCATGAAGTTTTCAAATGTAAAAATCCAAATTGCCAAACCTCAAGAAAAGACATCTGGAGGCCTGTGTTCACCCCACTGAGCATTTGGTGTGCCACTTAGTTTTTCAGGCATAATAAAATGCTTCACTGCAGGTAGTCAAATCTTCCCACCCCCAATAATGGTGTCTTTTGGGCTATTGTTTCCTTTGGAACACACCCAGTCTATCTTAATCCCTCAACCCACTCTGCAGTAAAACCTTGGCATGGAAGAAGCAGCACCCCCTTTTCTCCTCTCCTGTGGCGGTGAGTGGGCAGCAGTGGAAAGGGTGTTTCAAATGAAATAAACTCCAAATTTGCTTGAGAAAGGCTTGTTTTAATGACATAAAGGTGCATGGATTTGGCATACCGATTGGTAAAAGTCATTCGTACCAGGAATGCACATTTTTGGACATTCCTCAGTGGTTCAACACCATATGTCCTTGCATAGCATTTTTCGCAACACTCAGATTTGAAACAGTCTCCATGTCGATGGATGGATGGTGATGGAGATGARGGAGGGATATTTAGGGGCTGGGTTGGCAGAAGGATCACACATCAGAAGTGCATCTTACCATACTTATAAAGATCTAAAATGCGCCTACCCTCGTCGAGTTCAACCTCATAAGGCGCTGGGCGACGCTTTACCCTGTTGCTGGGGTACATACTGTACTGCTCCGACTCTCCTCCAAGACTACA